GGGAGAGGGGGAGGGAGAATCATGATTTATTCCCATACCGAGAAATTAATTCAAAATAGATTAAAGACTTGGGATACAATACCTGAAACCATACAGTACTAGAAGAAATCATATATAAAACAATAATCAACACCAACCTCAGAGATGTATCTGGGGATTCAACTCTAATGGCAAGGGAAACAAAACCAAAAATCAGTGGGACTACATCAAACTAGTAAGCTTTCGTACAGTGAAAGAACCATCACAAAAACAAAAAGGGACTGGGAGAAGATATTTACATTATCACACAGATGACAAGGGGTTAAATCCCCAACTATACAGTGAATTCATGCAAATGAACAATCAAAAGCCAACTGAGACCCAATCAAAACATGGCAAAGGACCAAAATAAACACTTCTGCAAGTAAGACAGAGATGGTCCACAGGCACACGAAAAAAATGTTTAAAATCAATTATTAAAAGGAATGCAAATAAAAACTGTGTGATACCACCTCACCACGTTGAGAATGGTCGATATAAAAAAAATACTAGTGTTGGCAAGGAAGTAGAGATGAAGGAACCCTCACTGTTGGTGTGCATGTAAACTGGTGCAATCTCTATGGAACAGCGTGTGGAAATTCTTCAAAAAACTAAAAGTGGAAATGCCGTATGACCCACTTGGAGGTTTTCACCCAAAGAATATGAAAACGCTAATACAAAAGAACTGTGCACCCCTGTGCAGAGCAGCATTACTCAGAATAGCCAAGACATGGAGTCAACCTAAATGTTCATCGAAGATGACTGAATAAAGAAACTGGAATCTACACTCAATGCAATACTACCCAGCTATTAAAAGTAAAGAAAAAGTGCCTCTGGGGATAAAGGGAATGGAACTGGAGGTCATTATGCCAATAATTAAGAAAGTAAAAGATAATTACCTTATGGTTCCACTCATTTGTGGAATATAAATAACCAAAGAAAACGCCCTGGCAAAACACAATAAAAATGACTTCTAGATTCTGAAAACTGTGGTGCTTACTGGAGGGAGGAGGGGCGAGGAGGCAGAGGGGTAACGGGAAAGGGACCCGGCACCGCAGTGTTAGTGGAGAGTGCACGAAGCGTGCATACACGATGAAGGGTGAAGCTATCGCTATCGTCCCTAAACGATGCAGCTTGGTAAACAAATGGCAAATCAATAAAATTTGATTTGAAAAAAGAAAAACCAAACACCAAGTGTTTGGGATGCTTGTGTGACCAGAAATATGCTGTAGGAACTTTACTCCATTTTGGTCCATTTTCCTATGGTCAGTTCAGTCTCATTATGTGTTGCGCAGTTAAAGTAGAAGTTTCCAAATGATGACATGAAATAGGGACTTACTGTAGTACTTGGGGGAACCTGTGGGGGTGGCAGTATCCTTGCCATTTGTTCTGGGGCTGTGGGCTTGGTGCGGGCATCATGCCAGCGGGGATGATCACAGGTTCCTTCCAGTTGCCAGGCCACCTGCTTGCCATCCTCCTGAGAAATTCCTCTTCCCTGTGCTGCTGCCTCCAATGCCTGTGACAGAGCAGGGCTGGGCTTCCTGGCTTGGAGGCTGCTGCCAGCAGGCTCAGGCCTCTGCGTGCCTGCTCCCTACTGTGTCAAATGCCCAACCCCTGGGTCTAGCCTCCAGCAGCTGGAAGGGGCAGCTACATCTGTGTGGTTCTCTGCACATTCCATCATAGCCAGAGAGTCAGTCAGGGGCTTCCTAAAGGGGAGGAGAATGCAGTTTGGGGTGAGATCTGGGTTTATCCTAAACCAAAGTGACCAGGATCCTTACAGAAAGTCAGAGTGTGGAATAGAAACTCCAGCTCTCATTCCCACTCATGGATTTTCAGTCCAGGGCACACGCTAAGTGTTTTATATTCATGAACGCATATAATGTTCACAACAACCATAGGAGATTGGAACGCTGTTCTGGTCCCATCATTGGGGCTTGGGAAGGCAGACATGGAAAACGAGACAAGGCAGCCAAAATCTCGCGGCAGTAACTGACAGGCAGCAGCTGAGGCCAGATGGCCTTGCCAGGCTAATGCCAGGACTGCTGTGTGTGCCTCTTTCTCTACCCTCTCCAGCATGGGCTCTAAAGTTTGCAGGTCTGAGAGCATATTCTGGTCCCACTGTTAGTGCCTGAGGGAAGATCAGTTTTCGCTGAGAGATGTTTCCCACATCTATAGGATGGGACTAACAAGACCTACACAATGGAATTAGGGAATGAAGTGTGGACGTGTGTGCCTTTGTGCATGTGTCAAATGAGTGCACCCTGAAGGCAGGACAGGAGAAATCTGAGTGGGTCAAGGTGGGTTCTCCTGAGCACCCGGGGGGATCAGACTGCCCTGGAGAACCCTCAAGCATCAGGGACCTCACCTGTCATTGTTGTCTGGAGTCCCTGGTGTCTGCATAGAATCCCAGGAGCTGTGCCTAGCACCTGAGGACATGGTAATTGGGCTTAGAGGTGGGGGTTTCTGTTACTGTGCACGTTCATGGCAGATAGTTGCCATTGTCAGTACCTGGCAAATGAGCTCAACTCAACTGTCCTCTGCCTCATTTTGCTCAAATCTACTAGGTTTGTAAAGCTCCTTAGTTCTCCTTTCACTTCCGTGTGTGTGTGTGTGTGTGTGTGTGTGTGTGTGTGTGTGTGTACATGGCTGGACGCCTGGCCTGGCTTAGCTTTCTTTAGAGAAGACTGGGAACTGCTACCCCATGGGAACCTCATTCTGAGGTAGGGTCAGGCAGGCTGCTCTCAGCCCTGCTACTCAAAGTGTGTGGTCCATGGATTGTGGGATTGGCACTCCCGGGAGCTTGTTCTCAATGCAGTGTCAGGCCCAGGCTCCCAACTAATGAATTGGAACCTCAGTTTTCACAAAGTCTCCCCGTGATGCTAGTGCACGTTAGAGAGTGAGAAGCCCTGTCCTGAGATAATGAGCATATATACATGATGCTAAGTGGATGAAAATGAATCCAAATAATTTATGCCCACAATCTTAGAAGAGTGCTATGACAATTATCTTTTGGGAGGTGTCGATAGAAGCGAGGTACTGAGGTCAGCAAAGCACCTGCATGACCCTTTTCAGCGCTTACAAGAGCTCTGTAGGCAAGAGTGAAAAATCCCATTGACAGTGGGGAAGGGGAGGTTTAGAGAATTAGCTACTGACCCAGTGGCTGAGTATTCTTTTGCTCTCTCAAAAGAGAGCTGTGTTCTCTAGTCCTGGGGATTCAGACAGGTCTTAAGTGGTCCTCACTCTCAGCCCCTGCCATTAGAGAGTTTGCCAGCCCTGCACAGGCCCTAGATTCAACGGACTCTGAAGCACTGAGTCCCATCTTCTTCATCTACTATTTTGGGTTTCCTCAACTGTAAAATGGCCATTTTAGGATCTGTCTTGTAGAGTTCTGATGAAGAGTATGTTAAGATAATGCACGTCCCTTATTTAGTATGGCATCAGTAGATAGTAGGTACCTAATAATCACAGGCTGCTGTACCGCCGTCATAATAATCATCATCCCCATGATCATCCGCCATCACCACCCCTACCACCACCATTCTTACCACCATCACAAATATCGCCATTACCATCTCACCACACATGTGATATGTGGTGCTCACATATTAACATCTCCTTTCCACCACCACCAGCATCGCTTTTTTCATCACCAGCATTCTCATCACCATCACCACCGCCATCACCCTCAGGCACCCCTCCCTGCCTGGGCCCAACCACCACCTAAAAGTCAACATCTGGGGCCCTCCCTGGTGGTGCAGCGGGTTAAAGCACAGCACAAAGAAGCTTAAGCCACTTCCGCATGAGTTCGATCTCTGCCTGCCCCGGAGGAGATCCACATGGCGCGGCAGACCTCTCCTGACCCGCCCACTGCTCCCCTCAGCAGTGTACTTCGTCCATCTGCCTGTTCTGTGCCCCACTCTGTCTCTGGGGAATCCTCTCACCCTCCGCATCTCTGGCCTGTACCCCAGTTCTGTATGAATAAATAATTCTTTGAAAAAAAAAAAAGTCAACATCTGTTCACACTCTGAAATCTGTAAGACATTCACAATGTTAGCTCACTTTGCGGCACACCAGTGGCACTGCAGAAGCCCACACGAGTTCTCACCCTGATGGCCACGCCGGTGTCACTGTGCTGACTAGTGATCTGGTTCTACCACTTCCAGACTCACTCAGGCTAGTTTAAAGAGAAGGACATGAGGCACAGAATGTGGAGTGACTTTTTAAAATGGGGGTGATAGCACTCACCTTGTAAGGTGATTGATTGTAAACTCAATGGAAGGCATAAATGCCTGAGACCGAGTGGCACACCAGGCTCACAACTGGTGCTTAAAAAGATAACTATCTGTGCTTGCAAATGAAAGTCTCAAATTCCCAGTCACCATTTTAGAAAACTGACAGTCTTTGGCCACTCACAGTCACGGTCACAGACCTAGACGCCCTAGTGACAGAGCAGCTCGCTGCCTGTCCCCAATGTCCTCCCACATCCTGCTCCTCCAGCAGGCAAGGGTGAAGGTGAGTGGCGGTACTGTGCTGGCTTCCTGAAGTCCTTCCCCAATAAGTCCCAGGTGACTGTCTGTGTTAATGTACATCAGATTCTCGCGGTAAACTTGTGACAAAGCCCTAGCGGACACATGCCTGCTCAGGGGAAGCCACTGGCTATCACACCACACCAAGTCTCTGACAAAGCTGGGATCTGTACCTGCTTCTCTGTAATTCCACAACCCACTGGCTTTTCTCCACTGAATTGATACAAGTTTGAGGAACCAAACAAAGTATGTCTGCTTTTGATTCTCCCCCACGATCATTTCGTGTGTGTGTCCACACACATGCATGTCAGTGTGTGCCTGGGACCTGGGGTGTGAGGCCCTGGGAGTAGCTGCCGTGCAGGGCAGGCTGGCTGACTTCAAAGGGGAGCCTTTAGGCGCTCCTTTCCTGGACCCATAGGTGGCACTCTGACACTGTCTGCGGAAGCATGGCCCTAGCTGAGAAAGACACCTCCGCCCAGCTCCCCAGAGTGGGCTGTCTCTTCTAGTTACTACACTTCCCCTGTGGGCTCAGGACCGGGAGGCTACAGCTTCCTCCCCCTCAGCACTGGATGGGGGTGGAGCTATCTTCAAACTCAGCCAGCTCTGGCATGCAGATGGGTGCTGGAGAGCTGGAATCTGGGGAGCCAGAAGGGCCCTGGGGAAGAAGATCCAGACACAGCTTTATGATTCCAGGGGGTACCTGATGGACTCTGCTATCCAGGAAACCCCCCCAGGAGAAGAGGCACAGATTTGGAGTCAAATGGCCTTGGGTTCTGTCCCAACCCTATTCTGGGACAGTGTCCAATCCTTTCAAGAGCCTGAGGTTCAATGTCCCCCCGTTCCCCACCCCGCCCCGTCTATAAGATGGTTTTTAAACAATAGTGAGTGTTTAAAAAGAAAAGACCAATAAAATACCACGCAGAGTGGGTGCTGACATGCAATACAAGTCAGCAGGGAGCGTGAGTCTGAGGTAGTGATGGGTGAGAAGACAGGAGGGATTTCTTGTTCTGGGAGAACACTGTCCCCTGTGTCTGTCACCAGTGTGGAAGGACTGGCAGTCCCTGGCCTTTAAACCTCCCATCCCCGTTCCCACAAGCTAGAACCAACAACTTCAGCACTGGCTCTTCTCTGGGCAGAGGGGAGGGTTCTGGAAAGCCCCTTGGAAGGAAAGCCAGGTTCCAGAGATGCCTCTCCTAGACGCACTTTCACTCTTTGAGACCTAACCCCAAGCTTAGCAAAGAAAATACAAACACTACATTGCCTCCCACTGCAGTCAAGACTACACAGGATCATCTGTGACCGGCACAGGCGTGATCGGGATGGGCGGCCCCCACGAGGTCTGGGGGGACCAGGAGCACTGCTGGCAAGTGCCACTTTGGGGTGCCCTGTGGAACAGGGAAGTCCAGCCGTGGAGAGAGGCCTGGGCCGTGAGTGTTGGGGGTGGGGTCTGACCTTGTAGCCATAGGGGCAGGCACAGTGGTACAGCTCCACAGCATCCTGGCTACACGTCCCGTTGTTCTTGCACGGGCTGGAGAGGCAGGCGTTGCACTTGGCCACGATGTTGATGTCCACAGGCCCTAAACAACAAAACCAGAGTGTGAGTGGCAGGCCCCAGAGTGGGCTCACTGTAACATCTCTTGTGAGCTCTCTTCTGGTCTCTGCTTCAGCGAGCTGCTGGCCCTCCCCATCTCCATGCACAGAGGGTGGCTGGTCTTCCTAGACAGCACCCCCAGTCCAGCTAGAGTCCCATTAATTCTACCCTTGTCCAGTGAGGAAAAAGCACAGTGGGGCATTATTCAGAAGCACTTCTGCAGGCAAATCAATTACTGTAATTAGCCTGATCTGATTGTGTTGTTAATCTGCAAACAATGCAGCACAATTAGAAACCCTTTGTGTATCTGTTTATGTTCAGAAGCTCAGCCCCGGCTCCAGCTGGGCCTCCCATTTTTCCATCGTCCAACACTCCTCCCCATGGAACAGTCTGTGCCAGGCTCCGGAGGGCACCACACCCAGGCCAAAGGCACACATTGGAAGTTGTCCTGCTGAGCACTTGCATGGCAGGGGAGGTCAGAAATGGCCTGGAGGCCCCAGCAGTGATGTTGACGGGGGGATGCAACCTGCACTCAGGTGGATATGCATCCTTGACAGTCCCAACTGTGTCTTGCTCTCTCCAGCTGTAAGGGCAGGAGGGAGGGAGGGACCTGTGCAGAGCTTTGCAAGGGGGCTCTGTATGGCTGTTGCAGCTGGGTGGACAGTGAGTCCTTGTGGACAGGCCCTACTTCATGGTCGGGCTTTAAGTGACGCCAGGATGACAGGCATCAATTTAGAGTTGGGTTGAGATGGGGCATGGTGAGCTGAATGGTCGGCTGGAACTTCTCCCCACTGGCTTAACCTGCCTTCACTGAGAACAGAGACACTCTCTGACCTGGGTGGTGGGGGCTGGTAGTTGGGGGAGGAGTGTGTGTTCCAGGGACACAGTGAAGTTTTAGAACGTGTATTTCAAGTGTATCTGTAAATCAAAATAAACACCAAGGCTCTTGAGCAGGAGATATTACCAGACAAATAGGTAATACAAATGGAATATTTTGAAAAGAAATTCAGTTTCCTCTCCAAATAACAGACAAAAAATCTAAGGAGATACCATTTTTTTTTAGCCAATTAAATTAACAATGATTAAATAAGATAAAATGAAATAATATAATACAAAAGTCTGGTGGAAAATGCACCCAAATGGCACCATGGGGAATGTAAAGTGGCTGTAACCCTTTGTGGAAATCAGTTTGACAATATGTATGAAGACCTTAAAAAATGATCAGATACTTTGGCTGCTATTTCTGTCCTCTGCGTCTTATCTAAGGTTGTCATTTTAAATAGAGAAAGACCTCGATGTGAGCCCTCCCTGGTGGCACAATGGGGTAAAGCACAGCACTGTGAAGCTGTCTGCAGCCACTGCAGCACGAGTTCGATCCCCCACCAGGGAGCTGACCCACATGGCGTGGCAGACCTTTCCTATCCCATCTGCTGCCCTCCCCCGCAGCAGTACACTTCTTTGATCTGCCTGTTCTGCTCCCCACTGTCTCTGGTGAATCTTCTCAACCTCACCCTCTCCCCCACCACCTCTGACTTGTACCTCAGCTCTTGTATGCATAAATAAAAATAAAATCGTAAAAGAAAAATACCTTGATGTATCAGCGGTAAGGAAAAAAGTGAAAATACTCTAAAAACCCAAAGCCAGGAATTGGTTAAGGAAGTCATAATGGCATATTACAGCAGTGGTCAAGAACACGCACCATGGCATCAGAAAGACCTGGGGTCTTCACCTTGGTAAGTCTCAGCTTTCTCATTTTTAAAAATATGATCCATCTCACAGAGATGTGAGGGGATTAAATAAGTTAGTATATGGAAAAGTGAGAATTAAGTGAAACAGAGCATGAAAAATGCTTCACATAATGTCAACCACAGAGTAAGAATGCAATAGTTGTTCATTTTTATCACAATGATGCAGTCCATCGAAATCTCATGGGTCAAAAGTTTGTTTTAGTGCAATGAATGGGAAAGTCTTTACATTCTGAACACATTGGGTAAAAATGCAGGCTAAAGTTTTTTTCAACTATGCAAAAAAATAAAAGAAAGAAGTCATGAGGAATCTATAAAAATGTCACAGAGGGACCTGGGGGAAGGAGTGGCCCACATGGACCGTCTGAGACAAGTCCACACCGATTTCAGTATCTGGGCCTCTTTGTGTGACTCAGGGAGACAGGGTGCTGGTGAGAGAAGTCACATCCCCCGAGATGCTCTGACCCTGTGAGGGGCAGAGATGTGTGGGGGGTGAGCGTCTACCTTTGCACTGGAATCGGTGGGTTGGGGTGGTGAGCAGCAGTCTGTCGGCCATGGGCTCTGGGCTACTGCAGCGTGCGATGCCGGGCTCCTTGTAGCCGGCCTTCACCCACTCCGACAGCCAGCGCAGGCTGCAGTCACAGTGCAGCGGGTTGGTCCCCAGTGCCCTGTGGGGAGGGGGGGTGCAGAATAGGAAGTCAGACCCTCTTCCACCCCCAGCTTGGCTCCCACCTTCGGCCTTCTGGAAAAGCAGAATTTTCAGACTGCCAGACTGGGGGTATCTGCTTGAAGGCCAGCAGAGCAGTGCTCTCCCCTCTGTGGCCCCCAAACTGCCTTCTCAATCCCTGAAGATGTCTCAGCCTCACCCCATTGCTCTCATCTACTCTGGAAAGAATCATTCCACAACTCCACCCCAACCCCTGCCTCTAGGACGTTTCCTGCTCTGTAGGCTCTGATTATCTGCCTCTGTTGCCCTACTGAAGGCCCATGGGAAGACATGTTTTCTGCTGAGAAGGCTCCAGCAACCAAGGAGCAGCGATAGATGAAGACAAGGTTCAGAACATGCCACCCCACCTATGTGGCTTTGCCATATTATGTTGCGCTGAGGTCAGTTGAGATACAGCAGATACAGGAGGGCTCCCTGATGCCCTCCCTTTCTGCCTAAAGGCAGTACCGAACACTTCTCCTTAGGAAGGTCCCCTCCTTGCAGCAGAACACCCTTATCACCAGACTGTGAGTCAGTGACGAAATGGACCTATACAAGCAAGCCCCAATCTTGCATTAGCCCCCCTCCCCCATACATTTCCTTCTCACTGTCCCACTTTACTGCCCAAGCCCAAGGCCCTGTGTCTGGCTATATCACTTAGCATTTTTGTGTGTAAAAAGGGTTTGGGTGCAATGGTATCTCTGAGTCTTCCTTTTCCTTTTAAAGACTTCCACATCATGAAAAATATTAAGTAAACATGTCTGTTTTATTCCTGTGACTCTTTCTCGTATCAGTGTAATTACTAGGCCAGCTACCCAACTGAAGAGGGTAGAGAGCAGTGCATGCCTCTCTGTGCCACTCAGCTGCAAAATGCAGGGTCATCTCCAAAGTGGCTCTCAGGAAGAAAATATTAGAACGCCTGCTCATTTTTATTATCAGATCCTTCACTATTCCTATTTTTTGTATGTTTCATGACATACACATGGTACACCAATACTGCAGTATGTATAGTGCACAATATGAAAATAATCATGCACACACAGAACAGGGCACAGACACAAAATAATTTACTGGCAGACATCTGGAGCAATAACCACAACAACAACTAACAGTAAAAAAAAAAATGGTTGAGATGCCACACCCAGGGGAGAGAGGTTTGATCTGGGAATTAGGAAGCCGGGGTCCAGTCCACTGTCTCACTGGCTTGGTAGGTGGCGTTCAGCTAGTCACTACCTGTGGGCATCAGGCTCCCCTGAGTGAAGTGGGAAGGGTCGCAGAGGGAGAGTGGTGACCAACAGCTGCTTTGAAGCCCAGGCAAGCCTGGAGCTGAGCTGGGGCTCTGTCCCTTACTAGTTAAGCAACCTGCACATTCTTCAACCTTTCCCAGTTTCAGTTTCATCACATACAACAAGGGGATAAAATGCCTGTTGCTGTATGAAGTAAATGAGATATTTCATCTGAAGGGTTTAGCACATCAGAGTTGTGTGTTCGTTTGCAGTAAATATTGACATTGTTTACAGAATTGTTGCTTAGCACACAAAGCTCATCAATGGGTAACTTTTGGTGAGACACACTGTATTTGGTCACATTCTGTACATTTGGTCGGTCATACGCTCTGCACAGGGAAAGGACAGATGCTGATGCATGAACAGTGACAACATTATCTCTGGTGCTAAAATGATTTCTGTTTTGCGTGGCGGCACACTGGGGAGAAATACGGTTACTTACAGATGGGAAAGAGATGTCAGGTCGTTGAAGGAGCCTTCGGGAACACTGGAAATGTCGTTGCCATGGAGGGTTCTGAAGCAGAAGCGCACAGGTCAGAAGGTGAACACCCAGTCACAGCTGTGAGCTCAGTGCAGGCTCTTGTGTCCCAGGCGGGGGCACCCTCCAGTGGCACCCGGACCCCCACGACTAGCTGCTGCAAGTGATGTCTTTCCGATAGCAAGTGCATGAGTATTTCCATGCTCAGCTCAGCAGCAGGAATGTAGTGGGTAGAGGGCTGGGAGAAGAAGACTGGACTTTTGAATCGGACAGACCTAGGGTGGCATCAGCAATCAGAACACTGAATCAGCTGCAGAACACTAAGTAACTTAACTTTTCTGGACTTCCATTTCTGTCTCTGAAACACAGAGATAAAGCTACCTAATGTAGACTTAGTGTTTCAGAGATGACCGGAAGCACTGTGGTAGAGGCTCTAAGTTCTGGAACCAGGCTGCTCACATTCAAACTTGGCTCTGCCACTGGGCAAGGTTACTTCTCTCTCTATGCCTTGCTTTCTCACTGTAAAATGGGGAAGGTGAAAATATTTGCCCCAGAACCTGGCTGTGTGAGTACAATCACCTAGGTAGAGTCTGGCGTTTTCTAAGTGATCAAACATTGCTAATTTTGGTGACAGGGTCTTACTGAATGTCTAATACAGATGGAGAAATTGGTGCACTTCAGATTCATCAGGAGAGATTTTAGGGGGATTGACAGAGGAAGAGACAGGGGCACAGTGAGCTCTTGAGGAGTCCCTGCAGCTGGACACTCATCTATATGTCACTGCCCCCTCCACACACACGTACATGGGTCTGGCAATTGCGTGTGTGAGTGCATTTTTTGACAGCATGTCCTAGAAGCTAGAAAACCTGCTTGGTGTTAATCAGACCACTGTCTGCCCTGCAGTGTGAGAGCTGGGAACTATTCTCACTTGCAGAGTGGTGCTGTATCTAACGCTTTCAATGGAAAACACTGAATGAACATTATTCTGTTGCTCCTGTAACAACACTAGCAGATTCGTGGATCATACGCTCTGCGGCAGGATTACTCATCAACTGCAGACACAAAGTCCCCAACCTGATGATTCACTGTGGGCCTGGCCAGGAAATGCAGGGTGGTTGAATTCCTGGAGACTCCAAGGCTTCTTTAGTGGCTGCTGGCCCCTCTGCTGTCAATGGGGACACAGTAAAACAGAGGGGCCATCAGTGCTGACTCTGGAGGTGTAAGCAGGGTAACAATGACTGCATTTGCCCTTTGTTTTCTTTAAGCTGATGTTTGCCTGCTCTGGGCCTTTGGCTGAATTATGCACGTGAGCTTGATCACACTTAATACACAGCAGAGTCTCTCAGGCTGACTGAGCACAGGAACGTTGGTGTGTGTGCACGCGCGCACACACACACGCGCACACACACACACAACCCATGATTCTGAACCACTCTCAGATATTCAGATTCAGGGGTCTGGGTTGGCACCTGAAAGGATTCATCTCTAACAGGCTCCCCGGTGATGCAGGTCCCCTGGCCACACTTCTAATGGCCCCAGTGGTGACATTCATCACCATAAGCTCCCCTTGCCCTGCACAGTTCTCTGTGATCCTTGAGTGGCAGGAAGAAAGTCCCCCTCCATTCTTAGGTGACCAGGACAGGAGGAAGAGGGTAACTGGTCCTCTACAGAGTGTTCCCGATAGTCTCACCTCCCTGGTAAGAAGGGGCTAGTAGCATTTCCTAACACTTATTAGTAGCATTTAGTCTGTGAATCATGTGGTTATTTATAAATCACACCAGCCCTTGCCTGCTATTAACTTGGATGACTTCAGGGCTGCTTGCTGGTTGGCAAATGCAGCCAGCCCTGTTGTTAATCATTTTTGAATGAGGCCTGGGCCCCTAGAGAGGCACGAAGCCCGAATTTAAAACACCAAATGCCCCAAAGGCAGCTTTGGTGCTGTGACTCCCGCAAGTCATGCTCCCATTCATTATGAGCTGAGCCACTGAGATCTCTATAAACTGCAGAGTAACAGGGCTGTAATTTACTAGGACTATGCGAAAGAACTTGTCAACACTGCAGATTCTTGCTCCTGGTCTGGCCCCCAAAGAAGGGCTCTTATATTTCAAACCTCACCCTAAAGGGTGCGTGGGAAGTGGGACACGTGAGTCCTCCCAGGAAGCACTTAGCACCTAACCGGCCCCCATCCCCTGCCCCTTCCGGGGAATTCATCCTTTAGTGCTAGGGTCTCCTTTGTCCCTCTTTTCATTCTTAGGGGATGTTACTGGAAAACCTGGGAACTTGAGGTGCAGATGATGGCAGTTAGAACAACATGAACACATAACCACCCCTATATAAGTTCTGGACTGCCTGGTCCTTGGGTCTCCAAATCCCCAAGAGCTCATGAGTTATACAACAGAAGCAGGAACTAACTTTGTCTAACTGTGGTCCGAGGTGGGTAAATTCTGAGCAGGCCAAGTGCCTTGCAGGTGTGGAGTCAGACTTCCTGGGCTCAATAATCACTGATGACTTACTCCGATAATCACTGGATGTGTGAGCTGAGACAAATGACTTGAGCTTTTTGGACCTGAGTTTGTTCATCTCGGGAAAGGAGGCATTCTTACTATCTACTTGTAGTAGGTAACTTGTGGGGCATGCGAGTAGCTCTGGTCCAATCTCCTCTTTCCGTAACGTCCCCTCTCTTTCCCACTGGAGAACTGCCTTTGTCCTGGTGGTTCCCCCTCATGGATAGAGCTCTGACCCTCGAAGCCCAGTCAGAGCCACAGGGATTGGCTTGAAGCTGAGCCTGTGACTAAGTGGGCCAACAAGAGACACTTCTGGGCTTTCTCTGAAACTATGACGATGGAGGTGGCTCCATTTTATGGGGCTGCTAAGCTGCTAGAGTATAAATGCTTAGTCCATTAAGGATCTCTGGAGAAAGGCTGTGAGAGTGAAATCTCCCCTGGAAAGCAGGGCTGAGGAGCAGAGAGAGTCACACACACATTTCTGACAGTGTCATAAGAGCACCTGAATCTAGCCTCAGAGACCAATAGCTACAGAATTTTTCAGTTACCGATGTGGGTAAATTCTCTTTTTATGACCAAGGTGATCTGAATTGATTTATTTATTTCCCTTTAGAAGAATTCTTAACATACCATTTCATAAGTCAGTTGTGAGGATTAAAAGCAAGAACATTAGATGTGGTCTATAATACACAATAGAATACTACTCAGCTATAAAAAAACATGAGCTCTTGCCATTTCTACCAACACATAGAACTGATTATGTTTAGTGAAATAAGTCAGAAGGAGAAAGACTATAGGATGATTTCACTCTTATATGGAATATGGAGGTCGCAACAAAGGAACAGATAAAATGAAAGCAAACAAACCCGAGAAATCTGATAGGGGAATTGAGGCCTCCAGAGGGGAAGGTGAAGGATGGGGAACAAGAGGGGGAGGGGCTTAGTGGGGAGGTCGATGGTGCCTTGGTGGTGGGGGTGGCAATATATACATAAAGAAGTATGAATCTATATTCCAGAATCACATGTAGCGTTGTAGGCCAAAGTCACCACAATAAAAATAACAGAATTAAAACAAAGAATGAACAGGCTGAGTGTAAGTGGCAAAGAGGTACAGAGCCCCTAATTACCCATGTCAGCTCTGGCTATGGCTGCATTGTCATGGCTCCTCCCCTATGTTTTTGGATGTCCTTTGGAGTCAGTTCTCTCAAAGTAGAGGAGAGGCCTGGCGGTATGTGACCAGCAGGTCAGAGAGGCAGCAATGAGCTGTGCTGGGTTCCCAGGACCGGAGAGGACACACCCTGATTCCAGGCAGCACCACCCTGCGTCTGCCCTCTTCCTCCCCCTGTCTTTCATTCCATTAATCTCATCGTAGTCTCTACACAAAGAAGAAAACACTTCATTTTTAAATAGGCCCTTTGGGTAGCAAAAAGAGTCAAACCAGGACCATGGTACAGAGGTCACCAGGAGTCACCTTTTAGCTCCTAGAATGGCCTAAAATGCAATGCTGATCAAAAAGGAAAGGGTTGTTTTGGGAAGGGTGTGAGCTCTTGGTCTCTGAAGGTAACTAAGCAAAGGGCAGACGGAGCCCTTGTAGGGATGTGGCTGGGAGACTTCATGCAATCAGCTGAGCAGTGAAGAATGGCCCCCCCAGGCAGAAAGAGCACACATTTCAGGGACTGAGAGCTAAAAATACTGAGGATGATGAATGACAATTCCACTGAAACAGACTCTGTGCTAACTGATTCCAGGTGTCCTCTTGGGGCCGGGCTGGGGAGTGACAGCCGGGGCCACACACACGGGGCTGGGACTCAGTGTGGGGTGAAGACGAGGAAGCACGCAAATTGGCAGTGAAGGCCTTGCACGTCCACGAGAACGTTCCCTTCTAGCTATTTTTAGATTAGGAATGAAGTCTGAACAACATATCTTAATACAATGCTTTGTGTTCAGGCTCCCACTCACCGTCCTGTTACATTTTCTGAAATGTCTTCTTATCCACCCATTAACACATATGTTCTCTCTCTCTTCCTCTGCCCCTGCCTCCCTCAAAGGTCTGATTTCTATTTCTAATTTCCAGGTCCATTTTGGGCGTCCTTCCACAGCTGACCTTGATGCTTATGCTATTTTCCTCCCCTTCACACACCTCCAGGGTCATTTCTGGGTCTCGGGTCATTTCTGGAATTTTCATCAAACTATTGAAACCATTTAGAAATGAGAAAATATAAACACAAACAAATGCATTCCTGATTTAAAACAAACAAACAAACCTATCTTTGCAACTCTCTAAATTGTAAATATATTTCAGTCTTCATCACCATTAACTCAGTTTTCATCTGTCACAAAAAAGACTTTGCAGTAAAATTAACTATCAATAACTTGCACATCTGTTCCATTTCCTTATTGTCCTTTATATGTTTACAAGTCAGTATTGCACCCATGTACAGATCAGGTTTGTTTTCCCATGTAATACTGTGTGTTTAATACTTTGCCACACCGCTACCTAGTTTTTATCATCATATCTTTTAACAACTGAACTTTACAAGTGAAAAGATATTCAGCATCATGTATCATCAGAGAAAAGTAAATCAAAACCACAAAGAGGTATCACGTCACACCTGTTAGAATAACTATTACCGAAAAGACATAAGGCGAGTGTTGAGGAGAATGTGGAGGAAAGGGAACTTGTGGGAAAGTAAACTGGGATAGCCACGATGGAAAACAGTATGGAGATTCCTCAAAAAATTAAGAATAGAGGGCCCTCCCTGGCGGTTCAGCCACAGCACTGTGAAGCTATGAGCAGCCACTGCAGCACGAGTTGCTTCCCTGGCCAGGGAGCTGACCCACATGGCTTGACAGACCTCTCCCGTCTCGCCCGCTGCTCCCCCCAGCAGTGTACTTCAGTCAATCTGCCTGTTCTGTTCCCCACTCTGTCTCTGGTGAAGTCTCACAGACCCCTGCACCCCAGCCACTGCATTCATAAATAAATAAATCTTTAAAAAAAATTAAAATTAGATCTAAAAACCATATGATACAACTATTCAAACCATATGATACAACTATTCTACTTCTAGTATTTACCAACACGCACACACACACAAACACACACACACACGCATGTACAATCACTAGTCTGCAAAGATACAGGTACTCCTTCGTTCACTGCAGCATTATTTAAATAGCAACGATATGGAACCAGCCCAAGAGTCCACTGACGAATGAATGGATAAAGAAGTGGCACATACACACTAAGAAATAGCACTATTCAGTTGTAAAAAGAATAAAATCTTGCCATTTGCAACAACACAGATGGACCTTGAAGTATTATGTTAAGTGAAATAAATTTGATGGATACAAGAGAAGGACCGTGTGAATTCACTCATATGTGAAATATAAAACCAACCAACCAAGCCACCCAACCAAAGCAAACTCTCAGACACAGAGAACAGATCAGTGTTTGTGAGAGTAGAAGAGGGCTGGGGTCAAGGGAGTGAAAAGGGTAAAGTGCTCAATTGCAAGGTGATGGATAGAAAGTAGACTTCAGGTGGTACATGCTGTAAATGTATACAGATGCTGAATTGCAATGCTGTGTACCTAAAACCTATACGATGTTATAAAGCAATGTTACCTCAATAAAAACAGAAGTCATAACTTCACTGCCTGGTTGCCTCATGCTTTCCTTACATATTTCCCCACTGTGGCACTTAGATGTAATATTTAAATTTTAGGTTAAAATTAACAGTGCAACCACGATCTGAACGCATCAAACCTTTCCCTCACTTTGGATTATTCTTTAGCATAAATTCCTAGATGTGCAATAACTGGGAGAAAGGACACAAATATTGTAAAAGAAATGTAGCCCATAAACATTTTTATTTTTCCTGAATTGGCCCTTATGCAAAGATGGTTGTTCCCCACTGAGGAGGAGGCTGGCAAGAGGGCCTCAAAGACCATTTTTTATCTACAGAATCCCATGATTTCAAAATGATAATGCTAAAAGCCTTTTCATTCTTAATCCAAGCAAGCACCAGTGCATTACGTGTTTGTGTACTGAGTTCCTGCTGAATGAATGAGAACAGTGGTTCTGGAGAGGGGCAAGCAGGTGCCGGGGAAGGAGAAAAGCCTGGACAGATACACGTAGCATTCGCCCCACCATACTAGTTGACACACACAGGCAGCCAAACACCCCCCCACCCCCACCCTTCAAGTGTAGAGATGTCCCAACCAGAACTGATTATGAACACACGAACACAGACACACAGATTCCATTAAAATGAGCAGCTCCATCTCTGGCAGCAACCAACCCATGCACAGAACTGGAAGACGGGATGGCAGACAGTGGGCTGGGACTGAGGGAGGAATGTGGGGGTGGGAGGGGGGTGCAGGTCCAGCCCCAGTGAGAAGAGCCCATCTCCCTCATGTCAGTTGGAAACAGGGAAGGGTACTGCTGATGTTTCCATTCTCAAACTCCCCAGAGAAGGTGGATAATAAATAAGTGACAATAACAGATTGCACACTGTCAGCGCGGGCACTTCTCTGCCCCCAGAGAATTGATTTTTAATAACAGTGCAGATGACATGTGGTGGGAGTTGTCGCTGACACTGGTGTTTTGTGGGCCTCAATAAATCACATCCGTCTGGAGGCAGTGGTCTGACCTGCTCACTGGGGGGGATCTGCTGGTTGCCACAGGGTCCCAGGAAGGGTCTTGGGGTGCTGGGTCAGGAGTCTGCATTCTGTGATTTGCATTCTGCCAGGCCTACTTCTCCAACTTGGAACTTAGTTTTTCTATCTTTAAAATGGACACGATCCTCTCAACCTCACAGCCCTTTGGCCAAAGGTTCTATGCAGGAATGACAATGAGAAAAGTGATTATAACTGTTATAGAAACAAGGGGTCAGAAAGGTAAGAAGCTGACGAGTTGTGAGCAGAGTGCCTGGCATCTCTGCTCTCGGGGGACTGTCTCTCAAAGGGTCCCCCTTTGCTGGAAAACAGTTGGAAGCTGGAAAAGTACACAATCAGCCTGGGCTTGGGTGGTAGTGAGGTACCTTTCCTGCCTTTGTGGGCTCTGATGGGGAACAGCTGTCCAAAACGGAAAAAAATGCTGGAGTTACCATGGGCTTGGGCCATGCTAAGGGCTTCATGTAAAATATCTCACTTAATCCTCACAAGACCCTGTCAGGCCGTCCCTGTTACGATTTGCTTGTGGGTGAGGGGGACACACAGTGAGAGGTGCAGACCGCGCTTGGAGGTGCTTTCTCGGCCCCTGGCTGCCTTCTACCCCAGAGCAGGACAGGGCCGGAAGGTGACTAGGTGTGGGGGCTGCGTGTGCACGTCCCTGTCTAAGGGGCAGAGCTGCTTGACCACACCGAACAGAGCGAGCCCTGGAGTGGCCAGGTTTTGCCATTTTCCAAGAGTGTGTCGGTCAGGATTCTATGATCTCCTGATTATTGTTAAAACTTTGTTTCTCTAACAAGACACTTTATGTGCCAACTCTACAACTGCTAACTAACAGCTTTCTGGGCTGGAACTGGCCTTGGCTTCCATTTGCGATCTTTGACACATGAGTAGGGATCCTTCCAGTGTTTTACAGCCCCAGCGTCGCCCCTTGCAAGAGGAGCCAAGCATGAAAAAACTGTCATCAAGAGAGTGGCTGAATCTAATCATATATCTTAGTCCCTGGAAGGGAGGAGCTAGCACCTGTTCCATCCTGCTCATAAAGTAGAAGCTCAGAAGCTTCCAGAAATGGGAGTGGATGACCCCAACCCTGGGTCTGGATGGGAGGCTGGGAAGTGGTGCAGATTTGGCTGTGAGCAAAGGAGGGGACGGGGGCGGGGTGCTTAGCAACTCCTGCTGTCAGCAGTGTGGTTACAAGGGAAGCGGGGCCCAGGGCACTCACAGCACTCGGAGAGACCGCAGCCCGTTGAAGGCGTGGATGGGGATGCAGCGCAGCCGGTTATAGCTCAGGATCCTGCAGGAAAGGACACGTGAGTTCACAGTGTACAGAGCTAGTTGAAAATAAATGGAGCTGAGCAAAATATAATTGTCTAGGGAAGCCCTCCACTGGGAAAGGAAATCCACAAAGCACAGAAGGTATGCCACAGAGGGCCTCTTCAGAAATAATTAGGTGGCAGTCCTGCTGGCTGCCCAGACAATGGAGTTCTGCTCTACTTGACTTTCTTTCTGATGATTAAGGTCTGCCCTCTGCAGGGGCAACAACAGGCCCGAGGATCTCGAGAGAAGAGAAGCATGGCTGAGGGCAGAGGGAAAGGACGGCCAGAGGACACTCTGTGCCAGGCCTGTGTCAAACACCACATCTTGCAGTACTTACAGAGTGGAGAGATGAGACATGTTACTGAAGGTGTAGTTGGTCAGCACGCCAATGCTGTTGTTGCTCAGGTCACTAGGAAAAGTAGAGCAGAGGGTTATGTTTTTCTATTAGCTGCATCTCAAGGGGATGTGTGTGCGCTTTCATACACACTATCCTGCCACCATCCTGCATCCTTCACGCATCTAGCCAATATCCCTCCTTCTGCTCATCTATCTACTAACCTGCCTACCCACTACCCATTATCCCTCCACCCAGCAGCCAAAATGCCTACCCATCATTCACTCATCCACCCACTCATCTACCTACCCTCCACCCACCTACCTAGCTACCCATCTGCCTCGTCATTACCCATTTACCTACATTCCTCCAAATGTGCATTTTTATTTGACACTTAATTACTCAAGCAATTGTCTTTCATTCAGTTATTCAGTCATTTGATTACATGTCTATCCATCTATTTCAGTCTACTAGTGTAAGATTTCTCCTTAGTTAGTACCTTATTCTGTTTCCCTGTTTGATTCTTCTTTTTTCTCGTCTCTCCACCCTCCCTCTGTTATGGCACTATTTTAATCCATCTCATCAGATTCTCCCTTATGGGAAGTAAGTTAGGTGGGGAAGTAGTTCTCTGTCGACTACAACCTTTGCATTATCTTTGGGATTAATATCGAGAGCAGTGGTTTCCCACCATTAGCTTCACATTAGAATCACAGGAGATTTACATGCTTTGCGGCTGGGTCTCATGTCTGGATATTCTAATTTAGAAGTTAGCTATTCTGATTTCACTGGCCTAGGGAGGGCTCAAGCATACTACAATCAGTGAAAGTCGAGACCACTGCTCTGGAGCTCCCTGCCTCCTAAGTGGACAGCGGCATCTTTCAATGGCCACCTGGCCAAGAATTGCACCTGCCTGGGTCCCATCTTGCCAAGGCAGCGAGACAGTCAAGGCACAAAACTCTCAGGCTGCCTGGCTTCCTGACCTCTGCCCACGCCCAGTGGCTGCTACCACTTGAAGATACCTCAACTTGAACCATCTCCTTGGAACATTTTCCAGGTGACTAAAGAAGGAGCAAGAAGAAATGCTGTGCGTGTTTTTAGCACACCTCAGGGCAGTCACAGTGTTCAAGAAACTGGAGACTGAGCGATCTCAAGAATTATATTTGCGTGTTAGATAGTCAGAGGCTCATCCACCATTTCCTAAGCAAGGAGGGAGGTAATGCGGGGGGTCACGGGTGTCAGGCTCTGGGATTCTGCATGTGGCTCTCACTGACATGACCTGCGCACAAAATGGCTCTCTCTGCTCCACCCTGGGACAAAGGAGCCGGGATGCAAAGCCTGTACCACGGTCACGCCTGCCCCTTCTCATCAGTGCCCTGAGCTCGCCCAGGACAGAAAGTCAAGTGTCCCACCCGACGTGCTCCTTACATGAGTGTCAGGTGTCGGAGGGTGGACAGCTCCCTGGGCACGGCCGTTAAGTGATTTCCTTCCAGGTACCTGCGAGAGAGATGCAAAGTAACATGGCTAAGAGGCACTGCACACACATAGCCATTTTCTCAGAGCAGCCACCCTAGGCTTCTAGGGCAGGTCAGGTCCCTGCTTTAGCAACTCATTTCTCCTTTCCTTCTTTAAGGCACATGATGTGCTTTTTTGCTATTTTAGGGATTATCTGCATGACCATGTAATTAATGACATTTTGTTTCCAGTGGGCTGAGAAGCTCCACGATGGCAAGGCTCTTATCTAAAATTGTTCATTGTTGGGTTCCCCCAAGACTACCAAGCTAGGTACCTACCCAGTAGATCCAATCAATATTGAATAAGTAATGCACCTGCTTTGTACCTGGCCCTCACTATACCCTTCCATGGCCAGGATTCACATTTGAGGAAACAGAAGTTCAGAGATGTTAAAACACTGTCCAAAGACACACAGCAAGGTAGTGGCTGAGCTAGGACTCAAACCCAGGTCTCTCTGGCTGTCCTCTCACCACAGTACCATTTAGCCTTGACTTAGCTACCAGAGGATGGCTAAGTGGGGGTGCTGAGCCATGACTCATAGTAAGAATTCTAATTCAGTGTTGAGTGTCTCTCATGTGCATCTGGACACAGAAGAAATGGGCATTTCCTGAACACTGTTCCACTGCCAGCAGAAAGACTGCCTGTGGGAGGGAGTGGGGCTTGAACTGAGCATGTGCCATCACAGGGAGACTCCTCCTAGACAGGAAAAGCCTGAGCTCAGACCTGCCTGAACTTCAGTCCTGACCTTGTCCAGGACTGACCTTGTCACCTAGCAGGAGCCAACCTCCTTAGCGACTCGAGTTTGCCTCTCAAACTTTAACATACATACAGGTCTCCTGGGCTTTTGCTGAAAGGCAGATTCTGTACAGGTTCTGCTGTACAGTTGAGAGTGCATTGCTCCCAGGTTCTTGGGTGAGGGTGGGAACTGCGGTCTGTAGCTATTTTAAGTAATGAGGCGCCAACACTGCCCGGCATCCAGCTGACCCACCACCAAGAGACTGGATGGGATGAGCTCGGTTAAAACAGAAAACGGGCAGTTTGCCCACGACCAGAGCAGGTGTGCTCTAGGGACGAGTCAGAGTGCACACCACCTTAGATGAAGGCCCGAGTGGCTCTGTGCCTCTGGTTGGCCTCCAGAGTCCTGCCATAGGACACAGGGCATCACCCCAGGGTCTCAAGTTGCCCTGTCAGGTAGGGTTAATGGTCGTAGTCTTAAATTCTTTCTTATGTGTATTTTATATCGACCTAGATACTAACTACCATGCAGGATGCTGGGGGAGACACAAGGAAGAGACAGATCCCACTTCTATTTTTGGAAAGCTTTATCACCTGGCCTAAATTTCCCACCCCTTTAGATCATTCCTTCATGTGTAAGATCAAGCAGCATATTCCTGGTGCATTCATTTCTCAGGTACAAATATTCACTTGCATCCGCAAGATGCCAGGTAGTGTATATCCTAGGGAGTGAGACAGGCATCATGTTGCTCCCTAGCAATAAAAGAACCACTGTGGAAGAGGGAGACAAGGGGAGGCCCTTCCTACAAAGAGATGCACTCTGAAATCTCTGAAATGCTTTGAAGGAAAGGAACAGGTGTCTGCATGGAGAATGCCAAGGGGTTTTGCAGAAAGATACAGCTCAGGAAGAGCTGTTTAAAAGGGAGGAAACAGGAAGGAGGGAATAGCCTGGGGAAGGCCCCGACTTTTGAGTGTGAAAGGCAGAATGCGGCCTGGGGACTTGAAGTTGGCTTCCAAGTGCAGCAAGAACCCCGCCTACAGACAGGTGCAAGGACAGGTGACTGAGAGCTTTCTGGGGATAGCAGGACACTGGGTCTGCACAGGCTGAGGAGGAGAGTACGGATCAGGCTGAGTCCCCTCCCCAGGAAGTGTTTCAGGGATGGTGTGGTATGGAGGGAAGCTTGAAAGCAGGTGATGACCCAGCAGGGCTTGTGGGGAGGTGCTGATCCTGGGAGCCTCTCTGCTGGAGGGGGATCATTAATCCTAGGAGCTGGGGCCCTAGATGGAGCCCTAGAGTGGCAGGATAGCTCATCCCACATACCCTGCTTATTCTCTCACTCTTGCATGTTTGCTACAACCACTTAGCAAATTCAAGCCATGGGGAATGAGACCCTGAGTCTCCTTGCTGGGATACTTAGAAGGTTAAAGATAAGCATAGCTGAGATATGTCTGTGTGACCTGGAGTTACTCAGCCTCCCAGGCTATACAGTGCTAGGACGAAAGCCAAACTCTCTAGCTCTCCCACCACAGTCTCTCATGCAACCCTCTGGGCCCAAATACCTGCCTTTCAGGGTCCAGCCTGGCTCTGCACAGGATTGTGTTGAACAATCTCTTCTTGCATAAAATCTTTCCCTGGCTTCCACTGCTTGTTGGAGAAGGGCTACCCCACTGCTGCCCCAAGCCTGCAGAGCCCTCTGTGGTCTGTCCTCCATCAGAGAAAAGGGGGCCCAAGGGTCAGTACACACACATGTGTAACATATTTCTGCTCAAGGATGAGACATAGTTATAACTACATATGTAATCACATATGTATAAATTATACACACATAATTGCATTGATCACACATAATTAAATGTGTATACACATGTATATGATATATACAGAATTATAAATACGGCTGACCCTTGAACATGTCCTGGAACAGTGTGGCTCCTCTTATACTTGGATTTTTTCCTGTGATGCCACAATTACAAATTCAGCCAACTGAGGATGTCGGTTGGCTGAACCCCCAGACGCAGAGCCCATGTGTAAGGAGAGCTGGCTAAGTTGCACACAGATTTTTGACCATGAGGAGGGTCGATGCCCCACAGCCCTGTGCAGTTCAAGGCTCACCTGCATAATTATACTCATAATTATGTAAGTATATACAATATACATTCACATGTCATATGTACAGACATAAATACACAGAGAGAGAGATGGAGAGGTAATTTAAGGAAAGAGAAAACTGGTGGCCTGGAAACTCAGGCAGGATTTCTATGTTCAGTCTTGAGGCAAAACTTCCTCTTCTCCAACAATCTGTTCTTTCATTCTTCAGACCTTCAACTGATTCTACGAGGCCCACCTCCATATCAGGGCCAGTTACCTCTTTTTCTTAAAGTCAACTGATTGTGGAAGTGAACTGCATATGCAAAATGTCTTCAGGACTACATCTAGCTGGGCACCATAGCCTGGCTGAATTGATACATAGAAGCATTACCCTCCCTGCCTCCCTCTGGGTTCCTCTGACAGCAAGCTCTCCCTTGACCTCTGCTTCCAACACTACTGACCCGCTCCTTCTCTCAATGGCCCCTCTCTTTTTGCAGAGGGACAGGTTTTTGCACATGTCAGTCATTCCTCTCCCCCCTGCCAACTTATCATCCACAGACTCACAGATCTCAGCTTATGTGGCACATCCCTGCCCTCATCTCCCACACCCAGTGAGGACATGACAGGTTCTCAAAAGCTTCCAGGACATTTTCCTCATAGCGCCTAACCCCTGTGGTGACATCCTTAGTGTGGTTCTCTGACTAGTGGGGCAGACCCGTGTCTGTTTCGCTCATGACAGCATCCCACCATACCAGCTGCTAACAGTAGATGCTCAGGGAACATCACCTGTCTGATACAAACCCCAGACCCCCCGGGGCGGGGCTGTACTTGGTACTGTGGAGCTCAGCTGCAGCTACTTTAAGTGCAGAATGTCCCTGGTGACCTGGATCTGCAGCTCAGAAGTTGAGGAACAAAAAGTTGCACTTCAAAACCACAGATGCAGTTGTGAAGGAAAGGCTCTTTGTGGGAAGCCCTTCATGAAAATGCTGAGCTCCAAAGTTGCCTGTAGCCTGCAGCCCAGGCCCCGGAGGGGCCCTCAGAAGGCTGCTCTCCTGCCCTGCCAGCCTTAGAACTACCAGAGCATTTCTAGCGGGTCAACCTTTGAGCTGATCTGCATTTAAATGCTCTGTTTCAACACAAGCACCAGAACATGTCTGCCCTGAATGAAAATTCACACAGACCTGTGAATGGATGTTGTCTGATCCTATGTCCAGCTCTGCCTACTTCCCAGTAGAGTACCCTACTAAGAACGCTTGGATCCACTGGGTGGTGCAGGAGAGAAGACAAGTCACCTTCCAGGAGGCCCACCCCCCTGACCCCCAGGCCGCCAGGTCAGGATTTTCACTTGGGGTTTGGGCTGATGGGAGAAGCTCAGGACTCAGGCCATTAAGCTTTATATTCCAGCTTGATTACTTAAGAGCTGTGTGACTTCTGCCAAATACGTGCCCTCACTGAGCTTGTGCCTGTCTCTGTAATGTGGGGATTACCATAATCACCACCTGGAGTGATTATGAAGATTAAACAAGAACCACTGTAGAAAGTTCTTGGCGCAGTGCCTGGCACACTAGTGTTCTGTACCTTTTGACTACATACACGAATATCAACATATGTGTTGATATGCACACATACATATTCACACACAGACATACTTATACACACCTGCCTACCTCTATCCTCTAACACATGGTTATCGAAAGATAATGATCCCCTTGCTGTCTAGTCTCTATTCTTCCAGAGTAATATTTTGAAAGTGAAAATTGGCTCATGTCACGTTCCTGCTTGGAATTCTTCCTTGGTTCCCACATTTCTCAGGGGATCAGCAGCGCCCTCCATGACTGCTCAAGTTCCCAGCATACACCATCCTCTTTTCTGGCCTCCTTGTTCAGTCCCATGGCCTTGGTTTTCTGACGTTAAGGTTTTACAAGCTTGGGTTCATCACAGAATGCATTTTTCCTCCTCCTTTACCCTTTTTATTTCCCTGGGGAACACTGTTCGCCTACCCCTCTGAAATGCCCAATTCACTGGCTAGCCTCCTACTGTCTAAGTTTCTGAGAACAGGGATCTGCTAAGCCCTCCCAGTTGACAGTCTCCAGCACAATCAACCTAATCAATGCTTGACTGAGAGAAGGGGACTCTCAGCTGGAGACCTGCACTCAGG